CAGTTGTCCTTGTTTTTTACCTGGCCCAGTGCCCTACCCACTGAGCACGGGCGCTATTCAATATCCAGTTTTAAATAGGAATTCCATTAGTCAAAATGTAGCTGAGGCTCAAAGTGAGGCACAGACTACAGATATGGTCTTTAAAACATTGCTGGTACTTCCTTACTTTGAGGGGATTCTCCTCATCTCCATTTCGCACCAATTCTGGGATGAGCTGCTGCCTTTCAGCTAAGGCTCCCTGTGAAATAGAGAACAAGCCATAAGCCTAAAGTTTTACACAAGCTCCCACCATGAAGTGTTGGCCATTCCTGCTACAATTACCTTTTTCTCAAAGAGTGCAAAGCCAGCATCTGCTGCAGCAGATTCTCTCCTTTCTTCTTCCCTCAAGGAATTGACAGGTTGAAAGCTATTTTTAAAATTCTCTTTCTGCTTATTCAAACTCTTAGCCCAGCGTTCCATGTCTTTGGCAATCTAGTATCAAACAACACCACCAAAAACCATTTAATCCCCTGTGCCATGATGATGAGCCATTAAGGGTTTTATCTTAACCATATTCCCGATAACAAAACCCCCTTTACTCTTATTTCTACCCACATATATATTTTTTGGAGACAGAGTCTCATTCTGTTGCCCCGGGTAGAGCGCTGTGGAGTTATAGCTCACAGCAACCTCAAACTCCCAGGCTTGAGCAATCCTCTTCCCTCAGCCACCCAAGTAGCTAAGACTATAGGTGTGCACCACACCTGGTTATACCTATAAATATTTATATGAGATGTTATCGCACACAAAGTCATTCATGAACACTGCTTGGAAGACTGAGTTTCTTTTTGAGACAGAGCCTCAAGCTATCGCCCTGGGTAGAATGTTGTGGCATCACTGCTCACAGCAACCTCCAACTCCTGGGCTTAAGCGATTCTCTTGCCTCAGCCTCCCAAGTAGCTGGGACTACAGGTGCCCACCACAATGCTGGGCTACTTTTTTGGTCGCAGTTGTTGTTGTTTGGCAGGCTCGGGTTGGATCTGAACCCACCAGCTCTGGTGTACAAGGCTAGCGCCTAAGCTGCTTGAGCTACAAATGCTGAACTGGAAGCCTAAGATTTTTAGGATTCTTTTTTCTAAGTACACAGGCAAATTAATAGACAATGTATGGTAAGAATAAATCATAAAACGTACTAAAAACTTAATGTAAATAATAGGTATAGCCCAATTTTTAAGAATCCAAATAGGGGCAGCACCTGTGGCTCAAAGGAGTGGGGCGCCAGTCCCATATACCAGTGGTGGTGGGTACAAACCCGGCCCTGGTCAAAAACTGCCAAAAAAAAAAAAAAAAAAAATGTACAAAAGAAAAGAAAAAAAATCAAACCTTAAAAAATCTGGATGCTGTGAGCTGTAATGCCACGGCACTCTGCCCAGGGGGACAGCTTGAGGCTCAGACTCAAAAAAAAAAAAAAAAAAATTCCAAATAAAGCTGACAACTTTGGAGCTACCACAATTCTAAAACTAAGAATTAAACCCAATACTCCAAATAGAGAAATATGGGTTCTTACCTGTTGGGCTGTTTTACTTTTGGGTTTCTCCTTCTTCTCTTTCCCCTCTTTTGCAGGAGGCAGGCCCGTTTGCTGGTGGGTGCCAGACTCTGCAGCTGGCACATAGGTTTCTTTCTCTCCATCCCAGTAGAGGTACTGCTGGGTTAAGGAATTATAGTAATACTAGAAGAAAAAAACACAATGAGTGTAGACTTTCTGCTATGTCAAATAACAAAAGTAATATCTTGCCGAAGTTGATACTTTTTTGTCAAAAACAAACAAACAAACAAAACAAATAAGAAAATCTCATAAAATACACTGTGGACTAGTAGTATTTCCTGCCCAGAAATCCTTGATCCTTGATATAGGCAAGGATAATGATCTAGGTAGCAAAAAGTTATCTAACTTGTAGGGTAAAGTAAGAGACTAGTTCCTTTTTTTTTTAAATTGAGACAGAGTCTCACTTTGTTGCCCTTTGTAGAGTGCAGTGGCATCACAGATCACAGCAACCTCAAACTCTTGGGCTCAAGCCATTCTCTTGTTTTATCCTCCCTAGTAGCTGAGACTACAGGTGCCCACCACAACACCCAGCTGTTTTTTTTTTGTTGTTGTTGTTGTTTAGCAGGCCCAGGCTGGATTCAAACCCACCAACCCTGGTGCACCTGGCGGGTGTCCTAACTACTGAGCAACGGAAGCCCAGCCTCTAGTTCCCATTAATTTAATCACTGGGACTACTACTTACAGGATACCCAAAGAGCAATGTGTCTCACTATTTTTCATAGACCAGGTAACCTGAACAGTGGATGTGCCATAGAAATCACCTATCTTGGGCAATGCCTGAGGCTCAAAGGAGTTGGGCGCCAGCCCCATATACCGGAGGTGGCGGGTTCAAACCTGGCCCTGGCCAAAAACTGCAAAAAAAACCCCAAAGAAAACCAAAAAAACAAAAAAAAAAGAAATCACCTATCTTTATGACAGTTAACAGTTCATCACTGGATTCATACATGTAAAACTCTTTGGACAACTAGGCAATCAAACACAAGAGTATAAACAATAGCTTGGGAGTCTAGAAGGAAGTGTTGGTGAAGGCAACTGAACTCAACAGGAACTGCAACAAGAAAGGCATCGCCTATCCTCTTCTTTATTCCCCAGCCACTCACTTTTCTTGTTCAACAGGATCCCAGGAGATTGTTAACTTTTTTGGGGGGGAAGGTAGTGTGGGTAACAGACATAGAAGTCACAACTTCTGGCTCGGCACCTATAGCTCAACCGGCTAAGGCGCCAGCCACGTACACCTAAGGTGGCAGGTTCGAATCCCCAGCCCGGACCCGCCAAACAACAATGACGGCTGCAACCAAAAAATAGCCGGGCGTTGTGACGGGCGCCTGTGGTCCCAGCTACTTGGGAGGCCGAGGCAGAAGACTCGCTTGAGCCCAGGAGTTGGAGGTTGCTGTGAGCTGTAATGCCAGAGCACTCTACCCAGGGGGACAGCTTGAGGGCCTTTCTAAAAAAAAAAAAAAAAAAAAAAAAGAAGTCACAACTTCTATGGCAACCAAGGGGAACTGACAGGAAAATGGCCAGACTTTATGAACAGACAAGTGAAAGAATTATGCAGAGGCGTAGCCTACTCAGGCAAGTTGCACACGGCTTCACACTTCGTTCTCTCAGATGCCACAAGCTATTAACATGAAGTTCCTGTTAAAAGTACTTATTTTACTATCATATATAGCTCCTGGTCACATTTATTTATGGAGTGTTAAAATTGTTTCACCTTTTTAAAAGTCATATACACCACCAAAAATAAAACAACACTCCATAGGTCTGCTAAATTCTATCCTCAAGAATACATAGGGACGCTAAGTAAAAGATGCTAGACACAAAACGTCATATACTGTTTGACTCCATTATGTTAAATATCAAGAGTAGGCAAATCCACAGAGACAGAAAACATATTAGTGGTTACTGAGGGGGAAGAGAGAGCAGGCAATGACTGCTGAATGGTTACACAACACTGAATTATAAACTAACCACTATAAATAGTTAAAATAGAGAACTTTATAGGGAGAAAAATCATAATTTAAAACTTCTACCCAAGTCTTTACATAAATTTTAACTTGACAAAATCATCTATGGTAATAAAAATCAGAACACTGGTTACTAAAGAGGGAGGGCATGGATAGGCAAGGGGCTCCATGAAGATCAGTGGGCTGGGATGTTCTCTCTGAGTGGTGGTAAATACATGACTGTGTATACATGTAAACATTCAAAAAACTGCACATTTCAGTCTTGTGTATTTTTCTGTACGTACATTATATCTCAAAGCATTTTTTAACCTTAAAATTAAAATTTAAGTTGAAAAATAAAAATTACATCTTGGTGACTTTGAAGACGTTAAACCTAATCTGGTTCATATATTCCTTTGTGGGAAATATTTCATTTTATGCCTCATGAGTGGACTAAGTGACACTAAGTTATTTCTAGTGAAACTGAGGAGGAAAACATTGCATTTACTTGTGAGTTGGGGTCATAGTAGAGTCCTGTTGTTGGATCATAGTAATATCCTGAGGATTCATCATACTGGTAAGTGGACGTGTCAGGTACTGCTGCAAAAACAAAATCCAGCATACAGTTGTTCCAGTGAGAAATTGGCTTTACTTCAAGTTCTAAAGCAGTGAGATATAGATGGCCTAAATGTACTTTCTCTCACATCCCCAAGTGGCCCTCTGATACTCACAACAGGAGAGGAACACTTATTAATCAAAAACAACAACTAGGACCTTCCAATTGTCAATAGTCCCATGAGGTTTGGCTTACCATATTTGGTACCAGGAACTACACCAGTTGGGGAAGCAGCTGGGGC